CTCAGCATCTAAGAACACCTAATTCACACACAAGTACCTATATATGTCTGCCTCTGGCAGGCGCACGTGGGAATGACATGAACCTAAGTACCTGACCGTGGCTTTCTGCGCATGAGTGGTGAGAAGGAGCATTTTACCACTGAAGTCTTGACTCACGCAAATATTTTCACATGATCTCCGAGTGCTTGCTAAGCAATTTCCTGCCAACTCCCACTCTGTGATCAGCTCATTGAAGAAGGCTGCAGGGCAGGCAACAATGAGGTTAGAAAACTGGCACGAAAGGAAGTCAATAGTAAAGAAACCCTGCGGAAGTCAAATGTAGAATCCGCTCCCTCCTAAATTCTGTAATAAATGTTAGGACTTCTGAGTTCTTTTTTTCCAAGATCTTACAATCCAGGTGGCACAAGGAATTTAAGATCCTCTTTCAATAAGAATTGCTTTAGCCCCTCCAAGACCATTCCAAGATATAGCAAATGTGCAGGTCATATGAGACAGAGCTGCCCTTTATGAGACTTTCTGTTAATCAGTAACTAAAGACCTAAAAAGAATTACATTGTTTTTCGTGGACCAGAAGAGTTTTGCTCCTGTTACAATTTTCTCAGCATCCAACTCAGGAGCTGCAAAACAGACTGTGTTACACTGAAAACCACCAGGCAGAACCAGCTATTGATCTATATTGCTAAGGGCTATTAACTCCTTTTCATTATGGAAACTAAAAATGCAAGAGCCAGCCTGCTAACTTGTGTATTTGAGATTGTTTTCCTCTCATAATGAAACACAGAGTAGTCCTACAAAAATGTTTGCTCTTTATTTGATGCTTTCAAAGGCCTTCCTAAGCGATCCAAAATTCTAGGCTGTGGTGTGATATCTCTTTGATAAAAATAGGGTGGGTTTCTCATATCATGGATGAGTTAGGGGAATATTACTAGGGGGTGAGTCATACTGTTATCTCTTTTACTCCTGCAGCTTCCACAGAGTTCTTTTATTTGTAGTTCTACATTCCAGGAACCACATCAAAACTTGCTCTGCTCATGGCTTGGAGATATTAACACTCTGTTTCCAGGAGCAAAGCCTTATAGATAATATAAGAGCAATACTCCCGATTGCTATGGAGGAACTGCAGAATCTTTTGCTTCCTTCTAGAATTACCACCTGGAAATGTCCCAGCAGAATGGGAGTTAGGTTCTCTTCTAGATCACTGTGCTGTTGCTCATCATCTCTGCGGGTTTACGGGACTACAGCGTTCTGCTCCTTCCTAGAGCCTGCTTTGATGCCTCTGCAGTGTTTCTTCGGCCAGATTGATTTAAGAATACAACCCTCAGCTAACTTCTGCACTACTCCAGACACAACAGGAATGGACAGCTGGTATTAATACAGCACCCTTCCTAATGACCACATATTTATTTGATTCTGTATTTAATATAATGCTGAAGAGGAAATAAAATGCTTGTGATTGGTTGAAATCTTGCTGCAGTGGTCAGAAAACAGATCTGACAACTGAAACCCAGTAGGAAACTAAGAAAGGGATTATATTGGTGACTTAAATTTTAAAAGCAGATTTTTCATCAGTACATATATTTTCCTGGTATTTAAGCATCTTATTCCCTGTTTCTTCTCCTTTCTTCATGCAGTGATATTGCAGAAGCATTGTTTTAACTTATAAAATTAGGAATGAAAGATTTAAAATGCTTTAAAGTGCATAGGCACTTACTTCATTTGATCTTCCCGACCATTATCTAGTATCTGATTGTTGTGCCACCTGAATTGTAATCTAACACATTCAGAGGTTGTGATATATCATAGAAATACTATGGTGTTCATTACAAACCAGAGGTGTGAAGTCACAGACTTGGACTGACTTCAACAGATCTTAGCCAAAAAGAAGTAAGAATTGTCACAGTGGTTTAAAAATTGCTTTCCTGCTGCTCCTTTCAGTAGTTAGTACACAAGATGGCTGTTAACTGCAGGAGATCTTAACCCACGGATAATCTTGCTTCGGCCATCTATTTCAAAAGTCTCTGTGGATGCAGACAAATAAAAGCGAAAATCCCTTTTTACATTAAAAGCAACACATCAGTCCCCTCATCTCCTTTTCTCTCTTAGAGACCATCCTTCTTTCAGCTGTTAGAGACAAGTGAACCTTTCTATGTGTTTGCTGTTTTTTTTTTTGAGGGGGGCTATATTTTTCAGCTGAATAAATCACCTTGCAGTTAAAGCTCTTCCCTGTTCTTACTCAGACTCCATCCTTTCATATGTCAGTGACACTCTCCACTGATCAAGGGAATAAAGCCCCAGGCTTCAGAACCCGGGGTTCTCTCAAGTGCTCATCACTGGCTTAGATCTAAAGCTTCATTTTTGCGAATCACTTGGTGATGGTGCAGAAATTAACCCTTCAGCCTCTTAATTATTGCACTCGCTTGCTCTGAATTCTCAGACTATTAAATTTAAAAAAAAAAATGGTGCAGCAGACAGCAAAAGGGGCTTAGCTACTTCTACTGCTTTCTTGATAGCTCCTTTCTGAAAAATGAAAAAGGCACTGTCTTCATTTGGAGCAGGAGGAAGTTTACTTCAGAAGGGGTGAACTACTTGAATGTTCTGGACTTCTGCATTTTTCACATGTTCACGAGCTGGCTTTCTGTTCACAAATGAAAAGAAGCCACAACACAGAAAATGTTTGTGCAAACTATATGTTAATATAAACACATTTGTTCACTCTCCATGCTAAATATGAATATGGAAAATGGAAAAAGATTACATGTAAACTATCACACTTTGAAGCAAAAAGAGAAACAATAACAATTCAAAACTGTGTATGCAATGACCCTTAATATTTAGAGGATATGTTGTTTTTACATGCTCTTTCTTTGCATCTCTCTAAATTGCATAGGCCAACACCCTTTCTCCCTCAAGTTTAACAGTTTTACATGAAGTAAAACAGTTTTTTTCTCAAAAGCTGCATGTATGTAGAGATGCTGTTTTGCAATATTAGAACCACAAAACCACAAAAGGGATTTAGAGCTATTTTTAATTTTAGAAGAAAGAGTTTAAAGTGTGATAAGGAAATTACATTCCTTTGCGTAAGGAGGCAGGAGAGCTGTTTTTGTCATGCTATTCAGAGATGCTGACTACCAAGTTTCTATTTGTGCTGGCCACAGTGCTGGATGGTACTGAAAGCTAACTTTTAAAAGATTAAATACTGATTCTGCAGACTAAATTTGCTTACCTATATTTGCAAGTCCATAGAGGTATCTAAATCTAGCCACCCAAAGACAGGAAACAGTCTGAATCTGCCTTAGAGAATCTGCACTTTATATTCTTTCTACCTCAGCATCCCCAACCATAAACAAGGCTGGTAGGAAGTATTTCTATTAAAAGGTAGAACTCATTCATTAGTGACTGCAAAACAGTTGGGAGTGTCAAGATGGGAGGCCCTAGAAAAACATTTATTTTTGCTGCAGTTTTATTACTTTATATTTTCAAGCCCTAGAGCACCTTCTGAAGCCAGAAGCATCAATGAATAGATTGGGCTCTTCTCCACAGAGGTTGGACATGGAGAGAACCATTCTCCATCAGAACTCCCTCTTCATATAAAAGATTCAACCAGCCAACTGAATGTTACGATTTCAATGAAATATGAAAGAAAAATATAGAAGCAGTGATACCAAAGTAGTAGAACAGCAGGAAGCTTTAAACGTAAAATGGGATTATTTTAGCACAAATATTTTATGACCATTTCTACTTAGTCAATCATCCTGTTACACACAACCTACAAAGGAAAATAAAACCATCACAAGACTTGCAAGGGCTCAGTGAGGTAAAGCTTGATCTTCAATGAAGCCAGATGATAGTCATAGTCATAAACGTTATCCCCATTTTCTTTGCAGAAAAGAGACAAAGATAACTGAAACAAACTCCCTAGCTGGTTCAAAGGACTCTGGAGGCCTATTCATCTTGCTACTACAAGCCGAGAGGGAAAGAAAATTCCCTTCATTTTCATAATAACAACAGATTGAGACGAAAAGAAATAAAGAATTCTATCATGTTGTTCTTATTCAGTATCCCTGTTCTATGTAAAAATGAAAACAATAAAATAAATCAGAGGAGATTTGCTTGTATTCAATACCCCTGTCTTAACAAAAGAGAACAAGAAGAATTAATATTACAGGAGCTCTCATTAATCATCTCTTCCTTCGCCTTTATTTACTCTCCTGTCCAAGACCAAATCCACATAAAACTCTATTCTAGCAAATGAGAGAGGGTAATGGATGGATAAAGCCAGGCTCAATTACTGTTGCTATTAGTGCAGTGTATCCCACGGCTTTCCACAGAGAACATGGGATGCACTCCAGGCGCACTAGCTTCTCGGTGTGAAGGATAGTGCTTAATAGCTGAGCAACCTTTGCACTGATTCCACACTTTGTATCACAGTTTGCTTTTTGTCCAATGAAGTATTGATGCGAAATACTTTAATCAGACTGCTAATAATTATTATTACCCCGTAATAATCTCTGCTTCATAAAAGGCTGAGATCTATGCTTTC